AATGAACATATGAGCATAAAAATGGTATTTAGAGCTTTTGTCCCTGGTTTTAAGCAGAATTACTTAGCTTAGCCTGTTGACAGGATCCACATATCTACTGACATGTAAGGTCCTAAGACTCCATCCTGTGTCCCATACCAGCTCTCTAATAGAGAAAACACTTGTTGAAAGACCAAAGGAGAAAATCAGACATTCAGCTAATGTCATTTTGAGTACCACAACAGCAGCTCTTGCACTCCTCTTGTCTGTATTATACACTGCCATTCAACAGAAGGAGTAAATTAATACCTACATAATTGGAAGCATTGGCAGAGTAGAGATCAGAGTCTTGGGAGAGAATTGGGTAGATAAAACAGATAGTTTGCCACTGTTTTCCCATAATTGGTCACACGGCAAACTATCTCTTCCTGAATCCACTCATTTCATTAAGCACTTAATTCCTTGTTTTCCCACTTAAGGCAGTACTTGCAATTAGTGTCCCGGTTTGGAGAAGGCTTCATGTTACCTGTATACTGAAGCCCATAAGCAGCTATGAAAGCATGGCACAAGTTTATCCAGCCATGTACTAAAGTTATCCTTCAAGACTTCTGAATTTAAAGGGCTATTTCAGGGATGGATTGTCTATCCTGACCAAACTTCTCTATAAAGAGCTTTGAAAATGTTTTATAGATTTAACCATAGCCAAGAGTGTCTTTCAGGTAGTGCTATAATTTTTCTTTGAAGAACTTAAAATTGTGCCTTAATATAGTACTGCTCCCTCTAGTAATTCATTTTCTTCTGTCAGCTTTGTTCCCAACTTGTAAAGAACAGCAATAGTTGGTATGGCACTGAAGTGCAGTGTAGAGACACCTGATGCAGCTGGATTAACATGGCTCGTTTGCCAGCAGCAGGAAGCTCAGCAGCTTATTTATGCTGATGCTTGGCTATGTAAGCCCACACTGAGCTTTGTGTTGCCCAACAAAACTGTTGCAGGATCAGAACTGCTGTATTTACCACCAGCTCAGCTTACTCTTAAGCAACTTTTCAACAGCATTCAGTCACATCTCCAATAAGAAACTGATTTTGAACTATGAGGAAGCTGGAATAAGAGCAGTTGCTAGAAATTTTTCCAGTCATGAGAAAAATTGCCACACACTACTTCCCAAAATACGATTTTCCTCTCCCTCCTATCCCATGCAATGTTTTTGCAATGTTTGTGAAGTCTTAAACAAATGTTCTGCAGTAACAAAGTCCTGCAGAAGTCTACAGAAGACAGACAGTCTACAAACATGCTGGTCAGTTTTGCAAGGCTTCAAGTCTTCTCCTAATCAGAGGGAATTTCTTCCTCAGTGATTTGGTCCAGATAAATTACCTCTTCCTAAACTATTCACTTTTATTTAGGTTCTACCGCAGATTGGCAGTTTAAGCTTATCACAAAACATATGTAAATAAGTCAGTTATTAAAATGTTTTAGCATCCACCAGGATATCTAAGTATCACAAAGAGGCTGTGATAGGTAGTTACATAAAACCCTGTCCACTTGCTTTTCAAATGTTACTGAAATCTGAAAGATTTATCTCAAATTTTCTTTTCAAATTGTCTTTTCAAATTGTCTTCTCTTTTCTGTTCCTTCAATACATTTTCCTCACAAGTAGCAATATGTGAACAACCCAAATTGAATTAGGTATGGCTTACACAGTGTTGCTGATTTGCAGTAAGTGATAAGAGCTGTAAATTAATTTCAAATCATTTTCTAGAATTCATGAGAACCAGTGTAGCTATGTATTTTTTTTGTTTAAATCTATGTTCCAGGACTAAGGTGGCAGTTCTTAATGCATTTTTTTGTGCATTTTCTCAGTTACCTGTCAAACCTCTTCTCTCTTTTCTACTTATAAATGGTGAGGAGGCTACTTAATAATCTGTTTTCCTACGATATCCATGATGCACTCCACCAGGACAGTGTGACCTGATCTCTAAAGGAAAAGAGATTCCTAGCCAGACCATTCTGCTTCCTTACATTGCAGGAACTTGAGTTTTCAGTTCTGTGTCACAACAAACCCAGAAGGCAATCTGGAAACACACGTTCATCTGTTTTTCCCCTTAAATTCGTTTTATTTTGCAAGTTTTAACAAGGCCCTCCAGTTCACATTTTGCAACGATGCATTTTTACTGTTTGCCTCTTATCCGAAAAAGCCAAGCAAAGAACAGGTTACAGTCATCATTGCTTTAGATACAGAAAAGGTTTGTCTGAGATTGTTGTATATAACAAGCTCCTCCTCTGTATCTTTTTCTGGAACACTATTCTTAGCTATCACAGTAATCCCACAAGTTTGTCCCCAGGTGCAGGACTATTCATCACTGAAAACAGTCTGTCAACTTGTTCCACCTCATGCACATCTTTAAAGGACCTTCCTCCAAAAGAATTTGTAAGATACCGATTGGGCCTTTACATATGTTTGTTATGGAATATAAGGAAATCAAAGCAAATATTCTTAACAATTGTCTCTCTGGCTATCAGTAATTCCCTCTCAAGTTCTAGCAGTGCATATTTCAAACCCATCCCTGAGTAAGTGCCTATTTCATATATATTATCTCTTCCTGCAACTAATTGCATAGCTCAGCTTGGTAACTACTTCTTCCCCAACATACCTGGTTTTTCTCAAGCTTTCTTAACCAGTTCTGTGATTTCCACTCACCTAGCAAATCTGTTACACATAATAGCTAGCCTCACAGCTAAACTTGCTGTGATTTATTAAGAAGGTAAACAAACCAACCAGATTTACATATTTTGCTTTGATATCCTTCTGAACTGGGTATTCCCTCAGGAAATGTTGATGTATCTATCAGCAAGCCTTGTGTTTGCAAATGTCCCGAGTTTTGAGCAATATTTTTTTTTTTCAGAGTAGCAGCAAATAATTGAACCATTTTCCTTACCTTTTGCATTACTGCTGATTTCCTCCGTTGTTGGTCTGTCTTTCCTAAAGAGGACATAGCCATCCATGAACAGCATTCCAGTCATGTGAGCTATCCCACCACGTCTCATAATTGCAATCAAATTGTAGCCCTTCAACAACAAGCAGATCCCTAATTCCTCCTGTTTATTCCCCATGCTGCCTGCATTGGTGTACAAGCATTTCAGAGAGGGAGCTGAGCACACAACTTCACCCTAGGAGGGGAGAAGGCCTTCTGATTCTCCTTATAACAAATAGCTGAGGAACCTTGTTATTGCTCTGACTGGCCAAGCTGATTCCCCAGCTGGATGTAATGGCTTGAGTATTGCCAGATTGACCCCACCCCACAAGTTCTTCAGTTTAAAGCCCATTTAATTAGGTTGGCCTGCCTGCTGCCAAATATCCCCTTGCCCCTTCTAGACAGATGGATCCCATCCCTCCCTAACAGGTTATGGTCAGAAAGGAACATCCCATTGTCATAAAAACCAAAACCTTCCCAATGACACTAGTCATGTAGCCAGAGGTTCATACATTCTACACCTGATTCTGGCTGCCCCCATGCCTCCAGCTGATAAAATGGAGGAAGAGATAACTTGGCCCCCAAAGTTTTTCACTTCCTGCCCCAGAGCTCTGTAGCTTTTGTGGGTTAGCAGGGTCCAAGGTGGCTCATTCACAGTGTTGTGTTACCAGAACATGATTCTGAAACCATCTGTCTATCTCAGACTCATCACCTCTAATACCACGCAGCCTTTTCATTGTTTCCTTTAAGTCGGCCACCTGATGTAACAGATCATCAATCTGCTTACAGTTTGTGCAGGTACTTCCCTTATCTCCAGGGGAAGGGTCCTGGCACCCATTACAAGCTACTGTCTGTACTGAAGCATCTTCCTTACCAAGTCTGTCTGGGTGGAAGCATCTGACATCACAGGGGCTTTCTGTGTAGAAGCACTGGTCCTAGCTTGGAGACAAGTGCCCACCAGTCTGGCTGAGACCTCAAGCACTTACCTGACTTATGAACCTACGGGCAGACTGCAGAGCCCATCCTGAGCGAACTGCCACACCACGCCCTGGCTCATGCACCACACTGTTTGCCCACTCTGGTTGCTCGTGCTCCCTGGGACACCCTTCTGTGGGAGTGGGGGTGGCCACCATTGGTGCTGGCTCTGTCCACACGATGTCAGTAGCCCACCCACAAGCTGCAAGTCCCCGGCACTTTCCTGGTTGGGAGAACCCCAAAAAGAGACCTTGTCAGCCCTTTCTGCCAAGATTCTTCTCCCCAGTGCGGATGTACCTACACTGGAGCTGGTCTCCTCAGCTTCACTGTCAGCTTCACTTACCAGTTTCAGTAATAAAGTGAATGGTATGAGGAATAATTCCTTATAGATCATGTGAATTTTGAGATACTTCTCAACTCATGTGAATATTTAGTCGGAATGTGTACATCCACACGTTTATGGCACCACAAGTGAAGAATCAGATATGCTACCCAGGCCTAACTGAATGATAGCTCAAAACTCAGAATTGCCTTATTTATACCTTCTTGATACAACAAGATAACATTTTTTTTTTCAAATGACAATTAATTTTTGCCTTTCTTCTGCAAATACTTATTTTTGCTTCCCAGCACAAGCATTGTATCTTATGGCTAACGCTGTGAAACACATTCATATTTTCCTCTTGATGAGGCTGAGCAGAAAAATGAGTGTTTACAGCTATAACAACTGCATGGAGATAAATCCTGTTTCCTCCTTATAATGTCTTTGTTTAATACATGTAATTGCTAACTAAGTGAAACAGAGTTATGTCATCTAGTCAGCTGCACAGACCTGTAAAGAAATTCTGGCATGAGATTACCCTGGCACTCCCTGTAGCTACACCCTTACAAACAATGTAAGTACATCTTTGGCACTGGTGCAGACAGGCAGAGAAGCTGTGTTTGTGATATTCCCTTGGAGTCTTCACCTCTCTCGCATCATGGCTGGCTTAGACAGGGCTCTCTGTCTAGAACGGGAGATTGCTGAGCTGTGCAGCAGGGTATGACCACGGGAAAAGTTGACAAGTGTGAGCAATATGTCCCTAAAGCTCATCTCGTTCTTCCTCTGCGCTCTGATTGCACCAAATCTCACAGGTAAACGGCTAAAATATCTTCAGTTGACTTTAGTCAGAAGACAAAGGGGTTATGAGAAACAAAAAGTCTTTTGTTAAACCTGCCTTTGCAAACTGTAAGCCAAATAGGTTATCTTGAGTATTAATTCTTTGTCTAGAATTAATACTAGAATAAGTAAATGAAAAAGGCAATCCATAAATTCTATGTTCTGCAAGTCAATTCTGAAATCTAAAGGGGAGTTTCAGTTTGAAGGAAATTAATTTACTGTATTTGTCTCTGTTCTTTTGCTGTGCTCTGAGAAGCTGAACTTTCAAGTCCTCTTTTAATGCTGATCTCTTTGAGCACAGGGGGATAACCTGCCTGTGGAGTGGATGTGGGGTCAGAGAGGAAGGTTATGAAGTGTTAATTAATAGCTCAGAAATGTTCAGAGGGTCTCCTTTACCCTGGGAGAAGGTCGTGCAATTTGTAATCTGCTTCTCTGAGTAGATGCTACATATCTCCTAGAAGGAGTTTGGCCTGAGATCTCCTGACTACACTTCAGTATTTTTGTGCCAGTCAGTTCTCTAGAAAGCAAACATGGCTTGCCAGTGTGCTTGGATTTTGCTCAGTTCTGTCTTTCCAAATGTGCCACCTTAGTTTGTTAATTCAGATTATGTCCTGCTCCATTTTGTTCTCTGCTTCAGAAAAAATAATTTTAAAGCTTCCTCACCAGCAAAATTTTGGATCATTATTTATAGTTTTTAGTTGATAGGTACAGTGCCCATCCTGAATTTATTAATACCAAAAAGAAACTTACAGCTGTGAACTTTTTTAATAGAGACACATACACTGTCATTAGGCCCAGAGTTTTTGCTAATGAAAGGAAAAAAGAAACCTTAGTGTCTGTGTACAAACTTTGGTGGTTCAGCTGAAATGAGGTGACAGGTCTCACTGTGCCAATAGAAGAGTCACTGGTTTTGCCAGCAAACCAGGAAAAGTGTACTGAGCTAAGTATAGCCAGGTGATGAAGATCTTTGTATCTGGTCTCAACCAGATACAAAATGATCTTTGGGCCATTAAAAGGTAGATAGTCCAACTCAGAACTATCTTCTTCTAGATAGTTTAATAAGATAGGGTTCAGTACTGTTGAATACAAAATATATATATATACAGAAAATCCTAAAGTTAAGCACTTAAAAGAAGAGGAAATGCTCCAGTGCAAGTCACCTTTGTTCAGACCTGGAACATGGTGAGCATGAGTCATGTGGAAAAACTACTGTGTGATCATGTAACTGAAGTGTCTGTTACATAATTCACACACTTAGGTATGCCAGCTCCCAAAATTAATGTGGGAACCAAGGGTGCAAGGAAAAGTAGTAGCAAACGATCTAAATATCAGGAAGCATGGTGAATTGAACAAGAGACCAAATGGGTGGTTGAGCTGCAGAGTGAATGGCAATAAAGACCTTTTTTTTTTTTTTTTCTTTTTTAAAAAGTGCCTTGCCAGTAGTATGGAACCTCAACAGGAACCCCAGAAGCAATAGAGCTGCTGACTGTTCCACTATTTAAATGGCAAGGAAAAAAGCTTCTCATCCCAGAGATATCTGACTTTTAGTTTAAAGAATAGCTGAGTGTTGTGTCAACAGATCCATGTAACTTATGCCAAGGAATCATAAAAGAGTTGGCATCAAGGCTCTCCACATTATTAATTATTTTATAAAGATATGAATACAGGGAATATTCTAAGGGCAGAAAGAAAATCAGTGTTGTTCTAATGCTTTAAAAGAATAATAATCATGAAAACATTGCTCATGGACTTGTCAGTCTGGTTTTGATTCTGGGTAGAACAACTGACATTTATTGGTTAACTTTGTAAACACAGCTTAAAAGAAGACACCCTCTTCTGATGACAGTTTAATGGAAGATAGACCTGGTTAAGTGAAATAGATGTAATTCAAAAAAAAAAACAAACAGGAAATAACCTTTAGGTAACATACATATTGTGATAGAACAGTTGCCTTGTTTCTGGGAGACTGTTGAAATGACCACTGCTAAACTGAGCTAGTTGAAACAGCTCCATCGATTCCTCCTTTCCAATGGTTCCTTGAGAAGCATTCCCTGCTGAGTAGAGAAAACGTCATTTTCTTGGGACTGGGAGGTAGCAGACCAGAGAAGTCTGTGCCCATAGTGTAGTGTAGTGCAGGATGTGCCCATGGGGAATCCTGCCTTCTGTGCTCTGGTCAAGCACTGCTAAGGATTTTATATTAAGGTGCCATAGGATAAAACCCATTAACTACACTGTAGGTCCCATCCCATACTTATGCTTTGAAAACCTCAGCATAATGTAATAGTGTCATTTATAGTCCATTGGATAATTTTATTCTGTTAAGAGGTGCTTTGATTGCAGCCTACAAGCACTTACCTTATTAGAATCCTGCAACGTGACAAAGGCTGTACCAGAGTTAGGATCTTGTAGTGTCCAGTCAAGCCAGGAAAGAAATAGCACATTTCTAACCATGACATCCATTGGAATAGTCTATAGAGTGCAACAGAGTGTTGGTCACTTGACTTCATTAAATTGAATTGGAAGACTTTTCTCAATGTTTTACTGATACAATGAAAAAAACTCTCAAATAATGAAAAGGTCTGCTTTGCCTTTCTGTAAGCAGTGCCAGCCTAACTGGTTAACTGGCTATCATTTCTTCTTCTCTGTAAAATACTTCCAAACACTGAAGTGACAGTAGTGAAATGAAGAGTGTGTATTTCTGATGCAAAACAGTTTTGCACTATTATGCACTAAGATTTTTTCTAGTACATTCATACACCTTTTTTCTTTCTTTTTTTTTCTGGGAATCTTAGGTGAAGATACTTCATTGCCAGCACCTCAGAATATCTCTATTCTTTCTACCAACATGAAACACTTCTTAACTTGGAGTCCTGTGATCGTCCAGGGAGAAACTGTGAGATACTCTGTTGAGTTTCAGGGGTAACTTCTGTTTTTTGCTTCTTTGCTCCTTGAACACTGTTTACTTAAACTTAAAATCCTGCACTGTTTGAATGTCTTGAGCACTATTCAGTTCACAGGCATAAGAGAAGTTTGATACTCTAGCACTGTTGATCACAAGTGAGGAAAAAAAATCATCTTTCTCCAATGCCGAGACTGTTTACAGGGTAACAGATACCTGAGTAACCCAAGGTGTGCATTAAGGCCAGATATGAAAACTGCCTCTGTCCAAAGAATACAAAAGTTAGGAAGATTAGCAACAATTTACAAGAGGAAAGAGAAACTATTTGAGATTTATTCAGTGTTAGTCTTCTAAACATTTAACACACATTACAGGAGGTTTCTGTTACATCTTGAGCTGTGACTTGTATCACAGTATGGCTTTGTAATTCTGGCTTACCAGGGATGATCAAGTCAAGTGAGGGGGCAGGATTTGATGCATCAACACTGTGTTGGCTATCCCTACCTCCTACAATATCATACTGCATTTGGCTCACAAACAAGCTGTCTTTGGGAGATTTTCTCTAGATAAGATCTAAAACACACCCATACTGGTTTCATACACTCCTGGTATTCCAGCCCAAATGTATCCCAGTACTGGTTTTAGCTGGAAAGAACTAGTAAGCAGCCTTAGCCCATGTCACAGATATATTTCCTTTCAGACTGTTGCCTCTCTGCTTTCTTTTCCTCTCCTCAGGGAATATGAACGAGACTATGCCAATGAGAGCTGGATTCCAATCTGTGAATGTTCACTTATCACAGCCACAGTGTGTAATATCACAGAGGATATCTCAGCTACTGTGGCCTATAACCTGCGTGTAAGGGCAGACGTTGGTGCTAGAAGATCAGAATGGGGCACCCTGAAAGGTTTCTTCAATCGCATAACAAGTGAGTCTGGCTATTTGGCTTAAGCTACATGGATCATGTTAATTTCTCGGAGTTTGGTGTTGAGGAATTGCTCACATCCATGTTTGTGTACTGTGCATGTCACACAAAGCCCATAAACACACAGAGCTCACCCTGCTTCTCAGCTTCTTTCATGCTGGGTTGGGATGTTTCATTCTTAGACAGCCATGCTGTGTTCTTGGATATGATTTCCTCCTGAGGTAGGGATGAATTTACTAGGCCTTGAATTTCAAGGCCTTCAAAGGTAGGTAACAAGACTCTAGACACTTCTTTTGGCAAGTTGACCGCTCTTGCCCCTGATTTCGAAGAGTTCTGATCAATCAGGATTGTTATCAATGCTTCATCTAAACCATGTCATCTAGACACTTCTGAGGGTCCAGAACCTGATCCTATGGAAGCACTTACTCTAGAAAACAGCTCTGTCACCCTCTGTCTGCTGCATGCTGTCCTAGAAATCCTGCTGCCTTCCAGACATGATTCCCTCCTCCCATATTGTCAGATAAATGAAGTAACCTGAGAAAAGGAAAGAAAAGTAGAAACTGCAGCATTGCTGCAGTCCTAGCAAAGCAGGGTATTTTCTCCATATCCTTCCAACTCCTGCAAAGCTTGAGGTCCAACTCAACCCAAGGATCAAGTTGCAGCCTAAAATTAACATGCTATTTCCAGTGTTCCTCTGGAATCATCACCTCTGTTCTCTGCCATGTAGGCAACTGCTTTCAGCAATAAAAACTGTGGTGAAAGACTTCTGTTGAGGTCACTATAAGAGTGCAGCCCTCACTGGGATGGGCATCAGTCATCAGTTTTAGCCAGGGAAGAAATTGCCTGTCCAAGACCAGATTGACCCAATCTTAAACCTTCACCAGTCATTGGAAGGTACCTGTTACTTCATGAGTGAGCAGTCCTCACTCATACAGAGCACTTATTCAAAGCAGCACCATCAGAAGTGCTGCTGAAGTTGGTGAGTATGTCTCTTGGTGTGGAAGTGTTTTCTAGATAGTGCTTTAGTTGAAAAGCTTCCCTTTTCCAGGAGCTGTGGTGGCACAAAGTTGAGCCATGAAAAATCCTTCCCTTTTCCAGCAGCTATAGGGGCATAGAGCTGAGCAACAAGACCACACTGTCAGGCAGAGAGAGGGGAAGGATATTTCTTAGCTTGACCCTCGTCATGAAGAAAAGCAGCAACATTCTCATGGTACAGTGAAGTATCTGGCAGCTTGGTCCCGTGTCTTAGAGACTCAATCCAATCCTCTGGCAAAGCTGTGAAGGTTCAGAGGATACAGCTTGCAATGGGCTGCAATGTGCATATGCATATCTAGACAAATGTTTAAAGGAGAAAGAAAAGTCACTGTAAGTTCTTGTCCTTATGCATTTTTACTGCTCACTTTCCCTTGCTCTGTTTTCACATTTCTTAGGAAACCCTAAGCACTGAGTCTGAGAGGAGCTAGGGAATTCACAGCACAGCCCACAGGTTCCGTGTGTGGTTCATCAACAGTCAGGGCATCAGCACAGCTCACAGTACTTCCAGACTAAAAAAGCTGCAGTGTCAAAGCCGTAGGTGTAGATACACATAAAGTATGATAACACATGGAAAACACTTTTAAAAGACCTTCCTAAAACTAACAATTTAGTCAGTCTTCTTAATTTATCAAAATTCACATAGTTGGTATCCAATGTGCCAGCACAGAGATAGATATAAGTGCTCCCCTTTGGATAGTAGTTGCATCTTGCAATGCGTCTTTGTTAATACATTAGCCCCATATTTGTTTTAACCTCCAAATGATGTTATCACTTTTTTATTTTGAGACATCATGTTAAGCAGATTCTCAGCATTTAATTTAAAAGTATAAAGTAGTTTTCCAGGCCTCCTATTTGTGGCACACTGATCATGAACATACTTGGATTTTACATTTCCATATTGCCCGATATTAATGGAAATTCACTGGATAGAAGAGCAAACTCTATTAAGAACATCTCTTCTATATGTTCCTATTTATCGCTCTCCTTCCTTTCTTGAAAGCAAGGAGGTTGAAAACAGTTTCAGCTACAACAGAGTGGTAAAGAATGGCATAGATAAGTAGTGCAAATATGATTTCTGTACTGCCTTGATTCCTGGTTCACAAATGTACAGTGTGTAGTTTCATCCATGCTTGATTGATTCTGTTTCACTAATATTCCTGACAGCAGAATCCCAGACCGAACCAAGCTTTGAATATCAAAGTAAGCATGAAGCAAATCACCTACAGATTTACTTGCCTACATTTACAAAAACTTAAGTCACAGCAGGTCATCAGCCCAAGTCTATTTAAAACCATGTAGAATACTAAAAGAAAATCAGGATTCATGTGAACTGCCAGAGTTATCCTGAGGCTCATATTACTTTTTCCTCACCTTTGATTAACTGCCAAAATTCCCATGAAGAAGCAGTGGTTTCACAGCTCCTGTTCTGCATGTTAGTGCTGAGCTAATGCCCAGGAGCAGAAGAACTGGCCTGATCTGGTGTCTCAACTTCTGGTCGCCCAGCTGGTTCTGCTGCTGTTGATCACATGGGACCCTCAGGCCAGACACTTCCTCCACTGGAGAAAATTCAAAACCTTTGAAGTGCTGTGCAACTCAGCTATTGCCAAACTCCTGTTTGGAATGCCAGTCATGGTCCTTCTCCTGCTCAAAGTCTGCTACAGTATCTATGCATACTGGGAGGTAAAGAAGAGAGAAGTTCCTGCCCCACTGAATCAACCAGCTATTTTTCCAGATTAATGTTACTGTGCTCATGGTGGCAGTTTATCCTCCTCTCCTAGCTGGGAAAGGGAAGACAGTTTTTAAGGGTTACCTCTGATGTAATAACAGTGCGCTCTCTGTGTTGGCAGCTTCCCTGACCCCACCTGTGATGAAGGTCATAGCAGCGGGGTATCATTTACTAGTGGAGCTGGAAGACATGGGGCCTGCCTTTCAATTCTGTGTTCTCTATTGGAAGAAGGGCCAGGAGAGTAGGGTGAGTTTTTTTACCCTCGGGTTTTGGGCAATAACAAAGAGCCCACATACTTAGAGTGAAAGCATACAGACATTGCCCACAGCCTGTTTGCCAGTTCAGGCTCCTGCTGTGGGGCTGGAGGACCTGCCTGGAGTCAATATGCCATATTTCTCTGCACATACCAGTGCATTGCTGTCACCTCCATGGAGAAACTTCACTGTTCTTTCCACATTTCCTTCTCTGGGAAGAGGAATCAGAGAAATCCCCTCAGGGACCTCAACTATTGAAAGAAATCAGAACTGAAGGTGTTTACGCTGACCTTCTTCTCTCAACAAAATTTGGTTTACTCAGACCAGGATTAAGGTGTCACACTGAGGTGCTGACAAAGTTCTCTCAGGAGTTTCTTTTAAAATAGCTTGCCCATGATAGTGAGCTGTAACTTGCTTAGCTGAGGGCTTTGCTTACACCTGTGTAATAATGAAGCAGTGAAAATTTGTATTCCATTCAGTTCCTTTTGTCTTCTCTAGACAACAATCTTAATTTTTTTCTCCTGGGAACTTGGTGCTTACGTAGCTCCTAAGAACATAATAGCCTGAAAGCAGCCATATAAAGTCAGACCATGGGACAATCAAGCCCAGTATCTTCTCTCTGCCAGTGGGCAATGGAGGTGACTGAAGAAGGTAATAAGGAGAGGGCTTGTGTGTAATTACAGTTAGATTATTTTCTGAGATTTCAGAGACATGGCTGCAGGAAATTCCTGAGCCAGAACTGCTATCATTAATAGCCCTTGAAGAATTTTTGTTCAAGCCATGTAAACTTCAGCATGTACCACTTCCTGTAGTCAGGAGTTCTGCAGCTTAACTGTTGTGCAGTTTAAATCTTAGTTTAGGAGAGAGAGAACAGTTATTTGCTATTTGCTTTCCCCACCCACAGTTTTATATTGTGTGTCTCTTTCCAGGCCAAGGACTCCTAGCTTACTTAGTTGTTCCCTGTGGAAGTCCTTCCAGCTCTTTTTGTCTTTACCAAGGTGGGCAGGGAGTAAACCTGCACAGTTCACAGTGCAGGTGCACTGTGGATTAACATCATAGAACTCTCTTTTGTTTCGCCAGCAGTTGTTAACATGTGGGCCTACCACAGAGCTCACTATTCCATAAAACCTGAGCCCCAAGTTCCTGTTTTTGACAGGGGATGCTCAACTTAAGGTTGAATCACTGACCATGTAAAAATGAAAGGGAAAAATTCTAATGAGCATTATTTCACATTTATCTGTGCTGAATTTCATTTGTCATTTTATTACAAGGTCCTCCTGCAGTTCTTCACAGTTGGCCAGCATCTTTACTATTCTGAAGTGGTATTTTACTATCATTAGCATGTATCAGTTTTCATTTTTCTTCCAGATCATCAGTAGTAATGCAGTGGTGAGCACACATCTGCGTGGTTCTCCACCATGACTTCCTTCTACTCTGAGAAAGGATTAGCAATTTAATCATACAAAAGTCTTTCTTCTATCAGAAAGCAGCAGGAGCAGGGCTGCTCACTATGAGGAGGCAGGTCAGGAGCCAAGGGTGATCCCAGTGCAAGCAGTGCCCTCCCCAATGAGGCATAGACCCACAGATTCTGACCACAGCAGGCAGAACCAGGTGCTGGTAACAGGGTCCATCAGCAGTCCCAGACAAGGCAAGTGATGAACCAGGCTCAGGGTCCATACAGGGACCCCCGCCAGGAGAAAAAAAGATGCAGGAACAGAGACAGAGCTGGAGGACAAGGCTGCAGTGTACTTAACAAGGTCCATCCAGGAGACAAGCTATATACAGCATAGGTCCAAGATCCATCCTGGAGACAGGTCCAACACCATCATTATGCCTCTTTGGCTCACAGCTCTTTCTTCCCATCCCCTCCTATCCTTCCAGACATGCGTGGTTTCACTGTGCTGCCTCATCTGCTGCTTTTCTCCCTCTATTCTCTTTTTCACATAATCCTCTCTGGCACTTCCTCCTCCTATTATTTTTCTTCCTTTTCTCCCAGTGCAGTCTGGGCTAGCATCGTGTTGGGACTCGTGTTCTCAATTATGTTCTGATGCTCTCTCTCCTGTACCTGTGGCAGATGCAACAGAAGGTGATGAAAGAGATCAGTTCCGTGGTTCACCTGGACACCATGGAGGCAGGACCTGATTATTGTGTAAAAGCTCAGACATACGTCGAGGCGATCAATAGAAGCAGCAGCTTCAGCCAGATACAGTGCGTGAGGGCACAAGGTAACAGCCAGCCTTCCTCCACACTCCCCTCGTGTAGTCATGCCCAAGGATAGCCCACAGCTCTTTTTGTTTCCATCCAGTATGTCCCATCTTGTTTGCAAATGTGCTGCCCATTTGTTCCTTGGGGGAGGTAAAAAAAGGAAGACTCGGGAGTGCAGCCGCCTACACTGACACTGGCACTGGTATCCTTCCCTGGAGTGTGCCAGCAAAGGATCTCACAGGGTGGGTGGGAAGAGCAGTCACAGAGGGTGCAGGCTGACTGCATTGAGTGGTTTGTCCTCACAGTCTCTCTGAGAAGTTTTGCTGCTTCTGTTGTTTCCAGGTAGCAGATCCATGTGGCTGGTTACTGCCCTCATCTCCTCTGCTGGCTTTGCTGTGGCTGCTTTGACCCTGCCTTTCCTTACCTGGAAAACAAGTAAAATCTTTCAGTATTCCTTCTGCCCCGTTGCTGTCCTGCCAGACACACTGGTAATTTTTCTTACTGTGCTTTATTGTTTGTTAGAGTGCTGGGTACTCACAGGAGCATGGGGCAGGCAGAAAAAGCAGACATATGCATAGGAAACCTTGCTCATTCCAGTGTGATGAGCTGAGCTGCAGGGGTCAAGCAGCCCATATGAGCTGGCCGCACGGCTGTCACTGCCTTCAGCTTAGAGCCCTGGACAGGGACCATGCTTGTGTGGAAGCAGCTTGGGAGGCACGGACTGACCCTGCCTGACCAGCTGCTCCCTGAACAAAACAGCTGTGTCATTGGCAACACTTCTCCGAGTCCCCTGGTACCAGCACTGAGCTTCTCAACTCCTTGGTGAAGAGAAACCAGTCATCAAAAGCAGCCTCTTTCCTCGCTCACTCACGAGGAGTATGGTTAAGTCAGTAGCTTAAATGTGCTGTCCAGGTCAAGTGAGAATGCAGGCAACAGCTTTTGTGGCTGTGGGTTCCTGAGCACTTGGTCTCTGGGCAGTTGTGGCAGGAAGGATGAGAGGAATGGTTTGTGGGGGAAAGTAGAAGACAGGCAGACTAGCTCATCAAAAACCAGAGGGTGTTTGAGTGAGTGCATTTGTCTTACAGACATTATCAGAGCCCCCCACCCAACTAATACTGTGTGACAGTGAAGAAGCTGAGCAATGTGATCTGATGGTGTGTGTGATGCCCTCAGAAGAAGTTCTCCGACTTGTGATGCCCTCAGAAGAAGTTCTCCGACTGTGGATTCAAGAGACGCTTTAGAGCAACCCAGAAAAAAGCAGCCGGTGGAAAAGGATCTTCTAAGCAGAGCTGGCAGTTTGTGCCCCAGCCACTTTCCTCAGAGTGCCAATAAGCAACGTTGTTTTCTTTGTGTCTAAAGCTGCTGCAAACCCAAGGTGGTGTGTATGATGAGCACGTGGCCTGCTCTTGTCCCCTTTGTACATCATCTTCATCAATCTACATGAAAAGAAAGTGAAGGGCATAGGTGACAACTGCCAGTTTCTATACTTTAACTTCGTATCCATACCTGTGGTGAGACATGAGTTCACTTTACCTCTGTCAGCCACATGAGTGGTCCCAAGGCAGAGCCTACCCTTCAGCCACCAGGATTCCACCAGAGCAATACATGTAAAGCCCAGTCCCTTAGTTCCAAACCATTTCAGCCTCAGAATTTTTAAAATAAATTAGCAGCCACTAAGAGCTTCCTACGTGACTAAAACAGCTGGAATAAGCAGGAAAAATTGCTTTTAGGGCTGCAGGCCCTGACTTGAGGTTACACTTATTAAAAAGGACATTGACAGTGACTGGACACAACATAAGAATTTGCTGCATGCGACAGATAACAATGTACAGTGCCAACAAAACTTACAGACAGTGCCATGAGGGATGGCTTGGTTTTACCAGTGCTTAGAGGGGAGTGATGTGAGAAACAGACGGACTCCAAAGATGGTTGGAGGGAGCACTGAGAACCCTTTTGGGGAGCAGAGTTTTGCAAGACCAGCAGCATCGCTAATGCTATATATGGCCAAGATCACCCAGGCAAGGGTGGCAAAAATACAAAAGCTGGATATGCATGAAGGAAAACTAGGACCTTTAGGAAAAAGGTAATTAGAGGTGAAATGCTTAAATGAGAGGAGACTGGAGTGGAGAAACATGAGGAAAAGACAGAGAAAGGTAGGCTCAAGAAATGGGAAAAGGGAAAAAAAGATGTGCAAATCGTGGTCAGGATTGTCCAGGGTGTCTGCTGGGCCTCCCTGTGGTTCAACACTACACCTGAAGCAAGATATCAACTGTGTCACACAAGGCAAACCTGCTTCTGGGGGTGGTCAGGAGCACCAGGGTGAGGGGCAACTGGAGTGCTTACCGTGGCTAATGGGGGAATATCAGGATGGATGGATCAAGCATCCCAGAATTATCACGTTAGTGGCAATTCCAGGCCTGATGACATCGTTATCTTCCAGATACCATCTTAAGAAAGGAAATTGCAAAAGACAAATAGAAGTTCATGCTAAATAAAAATAAAATACAGTTGCTGTGCGTATATTGCAATTATTACTGTCACTTTGGAGAAAAGTAATTCATCACCTGCGGAGCAGAGACTCGTGTTAGCAGGGCATGAAAAGACTTTGAGCTGAAAAGCATTTTTTTCTTAATGCTGTCAGTGGATCTAATGAAATGCAAGACATCTCTTTCTTAAAGAGCATGCCTTTTCTTGCATCAGGCCATCAGGTGGCAACAAAGCACCATCAAAAAGTAGAGGTGACTCAGGCCTCTTCCAACCTCTGTGTTCACACCCCAGCCAGTCCCTGGCTGGCACCCCACTTTTCTGTTGCAGCCCAGTTGCTGCTGCTGTTCCTGTTCTATTCTCGGTAAGGTCTCTCTGGACAGTGTTAGGATGTAGCACTTTGGTGTTAAATAGTAAGATTGGCACTGCTGAATCTGTAGCAAATTATACGGTGAGAAAATCTCTGCCAGTCTGAGCATTGAAGACTCAGGGCTGATTTTCATGGTTGTTGATAAATAATTAAGAAATGCCTAGTTGCAAACACCCATACAATGGTGGGCCCAGACAAAGAGAAGATTTGGGAGCAAAGAGGAGAAGGGCATGTACATGGTCTGGTATGTCAGGTGCTGAGAGGCCCAGAGGTCTCATGCATAGCCTCCCATTACAGAGGCCTTGGCGGTAAAGCTGGTTTAGATTTCTCCTGTGCCTTGCATTTATCCTGATTTTATTCCCCATTGATTTGGATGAGTTCAGTGCCCTGGTTTCTAGTGCGCCCCACAGGTGTGTCCCCATACAGGACTTGTCTATTCCATAGCTATAGGTCTGAAAAGCTTTAACAGCTCCTCCTATCTCTTCCCCCCAGCATTGTTGCATTATGGCAGTACCAGCAATTGTTTAGGGCTACAAAGTAAACCAGGAAGGAAAAAAGCTTGTTAACTTGAATGTGAAGGGCTTTAAAAATTATTTTCCAGCTGCACATTAAGCTCATGTTTCTTTCCCACTTGCAATAACAGATTTTTTGCCTTTCCTCATTGCCAATGACGTGGTTAAAGAGTAGTACAAAACTGCCTAGGGAATGTTAAAACAAGAGAAACACCCGGAAAAAATTCTTACGATAGGGAGACGGGAGGGAATTGTTTAAGTGCTGCTGCCATCTTAGCAAGACCATATTCAATTTGCATCAGGGTATTCCAGTTTGTATCTTTGGAGAGTTGAAGCCAAATTTGAGATGCTGATTGAAAGTCCCTGGCACTCTTCTCACTTTGAAGATGTGCTGCATTTTGTTAAGCCTGAAAATCATGGTACAGAACAAGAGCAACTCCTTCACCATCCATGTACATCATCGCATGGTGGCATTGGCATAGGTAGCTGCCATCAGCCACTTGAGTTCATTTCTGAGCATTGCAAGAGTTAATCGTGCCTTAGCAGTCATGGCAACTGCTGCCTCTGATGACTGATTTTGCTCCCAGGACTGTGATACTACATTTCAAAGAAGCACCAGACAAGTGACTCCAGCAAAGAGCAATGTGTACTGATGAACTTTGCTCTGTTTCTTTCCATTGATGTGGGAGTAAGTAGCTCCATTTCTTTCAAAATATACTTCTTTTTTACTTTCCTCAAAAAAGGTCACATGAAAATAAAGCACAAACCTGCATCATCTTTTTGTGAATTTAATTTCTATGCTGCGTGTAACCTGTGGGATATGATTCCAAAAAAAAAAAAAGGTATTTTTCCTGAAGACTTTGTAAGAGAAGACATGCCGATAAGACTGGTTTTCAAAGAAATAATTATTCAGTCTATTAAATGCAGACCACCCTAGAGACTGTTGATTACATGAACATTTTAGAAAAGTTACATGATATTACTGGGTTGACAAGAAAGCAAGAAATTCAGTTATCTGTTCCATGACACCAACTGGCTGGAATATAGCCTAATTTTTCCTGTGAAGTATGTTTCCTTAGAACTATATTACTGTCGGCAACTTTTGAGGACTGATATTAATATACAGTCATTTCACTGAGATCTTTAATCAAACTGAGATCTTTAATTTGATATATTACCATTTGAAACTTCCTGCATTATTGCAGTATGTTTTGTCTCTTTAAAAGTTACCTTTTTTCCCTTACAAAATCAAAAAGTAACCAAAATCACTACTTTGACTACAAATTGATTCAATTTCTTGTGAAGGTGGTAATGTCCTGCAAATGGAGTGCTACAAAGATAATAAACATCTAAACCACTGCAGATAAAGATGTTTATTTTTTAAAAAGTTTATGTACAGTTGATTCTGTTGCTATTAAAGTACAAAACTGCAGAAACAGAAAATTACTCAGTTCAGGTCTCTTGTGGTCTTCTCAGTAAACAGAACTTTAAAAAAATCAGAAATTATTAAATCAGGGTATAAAAAGAATTAAAAGATGGCAAGGTTAAATGAAATTGCCTAAATAAATACTGCACACAGAGCCCTAATTTGGTTTCATTCAGCATATGTGCCATAATTTAGCAATTGCTACAGAAATGGCTACTTCTGAGGAGTTTAATGTTCGTGATCAGGATCAAACACAGACTTTTGTTAACAGCTGAGGAGATGCTGTCATGCTGCAGGCCAGCAGGCAGTGATCCTACCCCAAAGACATCCTCTTCACCCCCACAGCCTTCAGTCCCAGAGCGAGGTTTAACAGGAGCTTGCACTTGCTTTACAGATCTTCAGCACTGGACTGAAATAGAGACAAGAGGAAACTGCCAGCCTGAGCTTCCCTGGTGCGGCTGTGTTAACGATGTTAACGGCTAACTGCCCACCCTAAAGCCTGCTGTGCTGCCCCAGAGTCTGTCATTCCTCACCATGGACCCAGGAGGAGAGTGCTGGCTCTGCAAGGTGAGGTGAACTGGCTGCAGGCAGCAAGGTGGGAAGGGTTACCATCTCCCAACAAGGCACAGCTTCCCCAATCCCCACACAAGAAGGTCTGGAGGCACTGACTGGGATCAGGTCCAATCACTGGACAAGTCTGCAGTGATGAGGCTGGTGGGTCAGGACTGGGGTATCAAACATGGCCAGGCACAGACAGAGCTACAACATGGCTCTGGCAAGGGCCAAGACTTGAGCTCAAAGGCAGTTCTGACAGAGAATGGAGGTCCTGGTAAGAGTTTTCACAGTCCTCTCCACAGCAGTCTGTTCCCACGTGACAAGGGCACACCATAGCTGACCTCTGTCTTCATTTTCCCTTGAGACATTAACAGCATTTAATTTTTTTAAAATTTTTACATTATTCTTTTTTACTTTATCCTTTTTACATTATCAGACTCATCTGAATCAAGATCATGAAGCCTATTTAAAGACACAGCAGAGAAGAAAAGTAAATACATTCCACTTGTCAAACATGACTTTAGGAAGAGC